TCTTCTTCGGTCATATTAACAAAAAAACTTCATAGGTGCCATATCAGAGCTTACGTTAGGAGTCGTAATAGTATGTTTAAATTTCTGTCTTTTTCGGTAACGGTTCTTAATATTTACTTACTTCTTGATCCGCAAATTCCATATTTTTTTTGCATAAGCACCACAGCCTCACCTCTAAAAAGGATGAATGTCATGGTATTTCTTCCTTAAACCAAAAAAAACTGCCAACCATCATCTACCAAGTAAGTTGATAATGTAAACATAACACATTAGCATTTTCTATAATATATTCAATTACAGAATTTTTGTAATTCATATCAAGTATTTCTGTATTTGGATTTGGACCACGTAATAATGTTGGACCAAAAACCACTGAAAGATTTTTAGAATTCATTAAATTTTCCGACTCGTGTTCTTTTACTCTATTACCCAAAAAATTTTATTTTAATAAATAATAATTATCAAATTGTTAATCACCAATTATACAATTTACAATGCTAATACTAACCTGGATAAATGTAACATCAAGTATTTTATTGTTGCATAATTAACCTTTGGTAATTTTAATAATAATTGTTTGAATGTTTCTGATTTTTCTTCATTATTTTCCAAACTAACCAATTCTATAAAATTCGAATACAGTTCAAAGGTGAATAATGGATTAGGTAGTTCTCGCAAATATTGTTTTAAAACACTAGTAACTGCAGAAATATCATTGAATTGTTCAGAGCTGTCAAGATCAATCTCTAGGTTTTTATCAAATGCAGTTACAATTGATCGCATTTGTGATGCACCTCCGGATTTACGATATATTCCTTCAAGATCCAAGCCTATTATTATGAATTATTTATTATGATTATTAGTATAGGTAAATTATCTTTATTTATTTACAAAATTTGATTAATTAATTTAATTACCTCTGATTTCAACGGCTTTTATACATTTTTGAACCACAATTGGTACCTCTTCGCCCTCTAATTCTGCTTGTTTTGTTAAATCATTACCAAATACCACTATGTTTGATATTGATGATGTTATACTATCAGAATCATTTTCAATATTACTATAGCATGGAGCAGTTATAAAAGTATGACATTTTATATGACTACATGACCCACATACTAAAAATTCATTAAAAAAAAAGAAAATTAATAATTATTATTTTAAAATAGACAAATAAGCATTTTTAAAAAATAAAATAAAAAAGAAACTTACATGTACATCGCAATTCGTTACTAAGTATTCTTTCTTGACAATAATCACATTTAACATTATTACGGGGCGGACTGGGTTGTTCCCAGTTATGTTTACGTTGCGATTCCTGATTTTGTAACATTTGTAATAACATTTTTTGTTTAGCTTCAGCTCTATTGTCATGATTCGTGATAGGTAAGCTTATTGAAGAATTGCTATTATGTGTACTAATATTATAAGGCGATTTATTTTCTATGGCGGTGGCAGTGGTTGCAAGTATTTTATTGAAGACGTTTCCTTTTTTCCATTTAAATTTCTTTGGAGTCTCGCCTCTTGCAATACTATTTCGTTGAACTTGTACCGACACTGTAGAATTTTCCAAGACTTCAGCTTCATAATTATACAAGGATGGTGTTTTATGATGATGGTGTTGACTTGAGGATTTATTGTGACGATTATTAGTGTCTGAATTTTCATAATATGATGATATCGATGTTAATGACGGAGTTGCTGATTTATTACTTTTGAAAAAATTAAATCCATTATTTAATTTAGATTTATGTTGCAGTTCAATCTGTTTGTTTATTTCATTATTCATTTCTGCCAATTCTAAATTCTTTTCATTCAACTTTTGAGTATCTTCAAGTAATTGTTCTCGTTCTTTGCGAAGTAGTTCTGTCTCAATTTTCAACGCATCACGTTCGAGTTGTAACGATCTTATATCATTGAGATAAGTTTGTTTGACTTCGTCGAGATGAGTAGATATATGTTTTGCAAGAGATTTTGGAAGATCTTTGGATGAATTACTAGATGTTTCAAAAGTTCCATTGTGTAAAGATAGGATTCATGTTAATAAGTATTTATACATATTTATTATTAAAAATAAAAACAAAGATGTGTAATATATAATAAAAAATTATAAATTACCCAGCAAGACCAGCTTGCTTTTCATTAGCCAATCCTTCAATTTCTTTAATGATTAATTCTTTCTGGACACTCAATTCCTTCAAGTTGTTTTCTAATTCATTTAAATGTTGTCTTGTTAATTGTGAATCTTTAATAAATTGTTGTACTTGATCTTTTTCTTTTTTCAATTCATCCAATTCTTGACTATTCGATTGAAGTTTAGATTGTAATTGTTCAACAGCAGCCTCAGCCTTTTGTCTTAGAGATGATTCATTATTAACTGCATCTTTTGTTACGATATTTTCCAATTGGCTTGCTCTCTATATAAATATATATTATTATTAATATAACTTTAATAATTAAAATTACAACTATAATATCAATTATTACCTTCATTTCACGAACATTGCTTTCAGCCTCTAATAATTGTTTTTTAGTGGATATTAAAGTCTTTTTTAGTTCGTCAACAGGCATTTCCGATACATTTAGTTCAGTTTCTTTACTAAACATGGATGATACTGGTGAAGTTTCATTTGCTTTTCGATCTGAAGACATTGGAGAAAAGGCATCGAATAAACGAGAATGACGTCTACCCAAACTATTACTATTAGGATTAGTAGCGGAAAGACTATAAGATCTATATGTTGAATCTATAGAATCAGAGGCACTTTTATGTGAAAACGATGGTGGTGGTGATGATAATCCATATGATCGAGTTGATGATGGTGATGATAACGTATTTGATCGAACTGATGATGTAAATGATGGTGATGGTGACGATAACGGTGATGAAGATGAAGATGATATATTATGTTCAAATGATTTTTTCGTAATTAAATTATTATTGTGGTTGTTGTTGTTATTATGTGGTATTTCAAGCTTGTTATTTTGCTATAATAATAATAGTATTATTATCATTATTATTCTCAAAATTAAAATAATAAATGATGATAGTGATGATAGTGGTAATAATAATGTTTTATCATACTTTCTCAGCTTCAGCTGGCAATGATGGTAATGATTTATCGAAGATTAATTGTGGTAATATAACATTGTTTTCTTTTTCTCTTTCTCTTTCTTTTTCTTTTTCCTTTGATTTTTTTGATCTTTTAAGTCTTTCATCGTGACATTTCATGCAATATATCCCCTTTTTTAAATTAAATAGTCGAAAATTTTATAAATATTATATAAGATTAAATAGACCACATGATAAATTAATAAATATAAATATAATTATAAATAAATACTTGATTGGTTTTTGCAAAGACTAAATCTTCGATTTTTCGACGACATTGTTTGCATCGAAAGCAATGCACATGAAACGATTCATCACCTAAAAAATCACATGCAAAATAAAAAGAGCAATTAAAACAATTGATTTTTTTTAAAAAATTTCTTTTTACAAATTAAATTATTTTTTTTCTAAAATTTTCAAATAAAAAAAATTCTATGTATAATAATTTTTTTTTGTAACAATTGTTTTTTGTTTTTCTTCTTCCAAGTAATATTGTTAACTACCAACTCAACCAATTCAACTAATCAACTCTCATTCGTTCATATGGAACAATTGCTCGCAGATAATCTTTTTTCGAAAAACCATAGACAAGCTTTATAATGTTCGTATATTCCTATGCAAACGAAAACATGCCACACAGAATGACTGTGAATTCCAAATCTGTCTAATTTCCCTGGCCATTTCTTTTCAGGGAATCGATTGGCATAGATCCATACACCCGTCAAATAGGCAAATAAACTTGATATAATAGGATTAATGAAATCCCACATATGGTTAAATCCATGAATATATACCAAATGTGCTAATGGAAACACACCAGAGCATCCGAGTGTTATAAACAATAT